TTTATTTTTATTATTATTGTTAATATATTGAAAAGCAGATTTTAACATTGAAAAGCGGGCTTTAACTGTAATTTTTCTCAAGAGGCTGTTATATTATATACCATTATACCGTTATATATGATACTGATATAGTTGTTGCTATTGATAATGATGATGACGATTGCGAAGCGATAATAATGATAATGCTGATGATGTTGTTTATGATGAAGATGATATGACAGGCGTGATGTGAACGATGATGATGATGAAGAAGAAAAAGAAGAAGAAGAAAAAGAAGAAGAAGATGAAGAAGAAGAAGAGGAAAATGATGATGAGGTTAAGAATGATGATGATGACAATAACGGTTATTGTAACTGTTGTTATTATTGTTGTTATTATTGTTACTATTAATAAACGTTTCATGGAAAAACCATTTTTTTCTTCCTAAACGCAAACTGCACCGCCCAACGCTGGCTTAAATTGGCAGCCTGTATTGATTTTCGTGCATAAAACCGGAGCTTTGCTATGCCTAAATACATACATACGTACGTACATACATACATATATACATACATACGTACATACATACATACATGTATATAATAGAACCCGTTTCTAGGTCAAATTTTCAGAACATACAATTTTTTTATACATTTTTCACACTTTAATATTATTACAAATTATATATAGAATAGAAGACTTGAGGAGAACACCATCAAATTAAGAAATGTCAAACGGTCAGACAAATCATTTATTATTTAATTAAAATAAATAACGCATAATTTATTTATTTATAATAATCAAGCATGAATTTCAAATGTACTTAAATTATGAAACTATAATTAAAAAATAATTTTTCAATCGTAGAGTGGATTATTACGAGAGAGGAGAGGACGAAACATGACGCTCAGTTTGAGGCACTCGCTCCAGTTAATAATTTACTTTCTGGTTAGTCAACTGAATAATAATTATGATCAAAATTAATAATAAAAAATATTATTATTTTATTATTAAATATTCATGTTTTATTGTTTGTAATAACATTTCAGGCGAAAAGGTAAGGCCCGTTTTGATGAAATCGAATTTACCGGTCCAAGTACTTGGGCATATTTGGTTCGGTTTTTTTAGATTTTATTTTTATATTAATATAATTATTATATTATTATTATTATTATATTATTATTATTACTTTTATAATTTTTTAATGATTTTATCTTAAAGAAAATTTATTCTTTGAAATAGTTGAAGTCAAATTACTGCCCTCAAATTCATCATCATAAACATCATCATGGCAATCATCATCGTCACCAGGAACTTGGCAGATATAGACGGAGACGGCAGCCTAAACAAGTTGGAATATTCCATTACTATCCATCTGATCAGATACAAACTGCAGGGCAAGGATCTGCCTAAAACATTGCCAGCTTCACTCAGGTTGGACCCCTACAAACCTGTTCAACATCAGCAGCAACAACAACGACAGCAGCAGCAACCACAACAGCTGCAGCAGCAGCAAAGACAGCAACAGCAGAGACCAACACCTCCACAACAACCACAACAGCAGCAGCAGCAAAAGCCACAACAGCAGCAACAACCAAAACAACAACAATCACAACAACAACAACAAAAACCACCACAACAGCAAAAAATTTCTCAACAAACACAACCATCTCAACAACAACCAAAAATGTCTCAACAACAACAACAAAAAACTCAACCACAGCCACCAAAACCACCGCAGCAACAACAACAACAAAAACCAATACAGCAGCAGCAACTACAAAAACCAATACAACAACAACAACAAAAACCAATTCAACAACAACAACAAAGACAAATACAGCAACAGATATCGCAACAACCGCAACAACAACAACAAAGATCGCAACAACAACCCCAAAAACCAACGCAGGCACAACAACAAAAACTACAACAACAACCTCCACAACAACAACAAAAGCCACAGCAACCGCAGCAATCCCAACCGCAGCAGCAAAAGCAGCAACAACAACAACCAATCAAATTACCCCAACCAGCTGCAACAACACAACAACATCAAAGAGCCAGAGGAGTAGGTAATTATTCACGCGCATAATTATAACGAATAATAATATTTAATTATTTTATTATAAATAATAATTATAAAAAATATTTGCAAATTTTTAAACAATTGGCTTCATTTTATTGCAGTTACTACAGCGACTTCAACGCAGCCACCACCGCCACCACAGGAAGATAAAACGTAATTTTTCAAATTTTTATTTCCTTCGTTCATTCATTTATTCATTCACTCACTCATTTCTTTATTCATTCATTTATATTCTCTTTCATCTATCCATCTTTATTCATTCATTTATATTTTCTTCCATCCATCCATCCATCCATCCTAGCCCGCCACTTCCGGCATGGGCCAACAGCAGTGCACAACTGGATAAGTACAAAATTGTCTTTCAGAAGATTGACAGATTGAATAGAGGATATCTCACTGGTCAGTTCTGTTCTCTCTCTTTCTCTCTCTTCTCTCTCTCTTTTTTAGTTCTATCTCATTCTTTTCAGTTTTTCTTTCTTCTCTCTCTTTTTCTCTCTCTCTCTCTTTCTCTCTTTCACTTTCCTTTTCATTTTCTTCTCTTTCTTTTGCTATTCTCTTTTAATTAACTATAAAATGTGACTCAGGGCTAGAAGCAAGGGCAATCCTCTCCAAGTCAGGCCTGCCTAATAAGATCTTGGCTCAAATTTGGTTAGTAACACACACACACACACACACACACGTACAAACACTCACACACACACAAACTGTGTTACACCTTACACTCCATGTACAAAATCATACAAACTATTACTACTGAATATTCAAACTCAGGCACGCGCGTGCACACATTCATATACACGTACAGATATACAAACATACAAATACACATATATCCACATACACACACACATACACACATACAAACACACTCATTCACACATATACATACATCAGGAATCTTTCAGACGTTGATGATGATGGATGTTTGAACGAGGAAGAATTCTACATCAGCATGCATTTCACAGAGGCTGCCAAACTTGGGCAAACCCTGCCTGTCTCACTGCCCTCTGATTTCATACCCCTGTCGATGAGAAGGGCTACACCGCCACAAAATAATTTTCCACAACAACAACAAAATGTTGCAACCTCTCAACAACAACAACAGCGGAATAAAAATCCGACTACTCTCTCACAACAACAGCCTCAAAGGCCACCACTACCAACATCACCAAAAAAACTCCTCCCCCAGAAACCACCACAACCAAATCTCTGCCACCACACTCCTCCTACTCAACCAAAGCAACAAAAACCACCACTACCGCTGCAGCAACCACAGCAGCAGCAACAATTCAACCCTCAAAATATTCAACACAACAACAAAAGACAGAGTGTCTCTGACGATGACCCTTTTGGCATGGAGCCGCTGGAAAATTTTTCACCAATCGAATCGCAACAACCTGAACAATTCGGAACCATAGACAACAACCATGGTGATGATAATTTCAACAACAACAACAATGAACTTAACAACAGCGAGAACGTTCTTGAAACTGGCAACAACACCAACCAGCAGCAAGAAAATCTAAGCGACGACGAACAACATAACATCTCAGCAACAATCCAGCAACAGTTTCAGCAGCAGCAGCAGCAGCCAATGTCTCAAGAAGAAATTATGGCATACAAAGTCGTCAACGAAGTGATGTCAACTCTGCCGAACGTCATCGAGCCATCATCAGAATGGGAGGAGCCCAGCGAGCAAGTTGCAGCCAACGATGACAACAATGTCTATAGTAACGTAGAAGAAAATGCCAACAACAATTTTGATAATAGTGTGACTTGCGTTGAAAATACAAATGAATACCAGAGTAATGTCAGTAATGTTTACGTTGAAAATGACGGAACGTGCTACAGCGAAAACAATGACAACAGCAACGATGATAACATCAATGATTACAACAACAATGATTACAACAACAACAATGATAATAACAACAACAACAATGATTACATTAACAACGACAACAATGATGATGATGACGAAGACGACGAAGATGACGAGAAAAGAGAGGAACAGGAGAAGCAAGAAAAATTCCAAGCCCAGATTGAGAGGCAGAAAGAACTCGATAAAATAAGAAAACAGGAGATGGAGAAAAAGAAGAAGGAGGATGAAGAAAAAATAAGGAAAGAGATTGAGGAAAGGAAGAGGCTGGAAGAGATAGAGAGGAAAAAGAAAGAGGAGTTTGATCGACAAAAGAAGGAAGAATTTGAAAAGTACAGACTGGCCGAACTAGAGAAACAAAAACAGGTTATACTCGATACAGTTACTACTACCACTACTGCCGCTACTACTGCTACTAAAGCTACTACTACTACTACTAAAAATATTATTATTATTAATATTGTTATTGTTATTATTTAATAGGCCGAGATTGAAAGGCATAAACAGATTGAAAGAGAGAAAGAAGAACAAAAAAGAAGAGCCCAAGAATTGAAAGAGGTTCAATTGCTTAGTCTATCATCTAACCATTCATCCAACAATCAATCTCTCCATCAATCAATAAATCAATCCATCCATTTATGCACAAATCAATCCATCCATCCATCCATCAATCAATCCTTCATTCATCCAGGCTCAACTCTTGGAAGAACAGCGTCAGAGACAGTTGGACTGGGAGCACCAACGCCGAGATCAACTCGTGCTAATAAAAGCTCGCGAGCAAAATCAGGTAGATCAGGTAGATAAGGAAGTCCTGAGGTTGAAAAAAGTCATCGCTACGCACGTTAGTGAGGCTGGCTTTGTATTCTTTCCCTTATAACTAACAAAAATTCATAAATATAAATAACAATATATTCAATAAAATATAAATATGAAATAAAATATAAATATGAAATAAAATATAAAATAAAGTTTATAAATATAAATAACAATATATTCGGGAATTTGAATTTTTTGAAAATTTTAAACTTGAAGGAAAAGAAAAAATCGGAGTTG